GGTCACGGTGCCGGTCTCGATGTCTATCTTAGTCTCGGATGTGACAGGGGGGGCACTGCAACAATTGTTGCTCCTCAAGATAGTTCAAATAGTTGGCTGCCGCCTCGTAGACGTTGCAATCACCAGAACCATGTCCTTCATTGTTGCTAGCCATGCATGTTTCCTATGATTAAATCTAGTCAATAAATTCTAGACCTAATAAAATGAATAATGACATAAAAAGGCCTATGTTTTGCAGGAATGTTGATTCATTCCCACTGCGGCAAATCCCGGGACTTGACATGTCCTAGTTTGTAGCACATGCCGAAATTCACGGAAAATTTCGACATGACCTTTGCTACAAAGTGGACAAATCGAGCGCCTGAAATTTGCCGGAACGGGAATGAATCAACATTCCGGCAAAACATAGGCCACTCGAAATCATTCTTGCAAACAATGTTCAAATATCCATCTTCGACACCGCAACACATGTCCAAATATACACGAGCAACCACATGTCCAAATATACATGTCAAAATTTCACAAGCTAACTCAAAAACAAAGTGTAGAAGAAAATTCAGTTAACTACTAATAGAACAAAATTCAGTTAACTTTAGTGCTCTATGATGATGAAATGAAAAAAGTCAGTTAAGTACTAATTTCATTCATTTAACTTCACCTAATTAACCTAGTGTACCACTACTACTAGCAGCACTACTAACCTAATTAACCTAGTAAAACCCTACTGCCCTAACTAAAAAACATCTAATTACCATCTACTAGTACCACTACTGCCCTAATCTAATTAACATCTACTAGTACCACTATATATAGTACTAGCAGCACTACTGCAACATTTTCTTCATTTTATCTTAAAAAACATCTATGAAAACAAAAACCCTAACTAAACCCTACTACCCTAACTAAATTTTTGCTCTAAACCCTACTGCCCTAACTAAATTTTTGCTCTAAACTAAACTTTTGCTCTAACCTAGCTAGTTAACCTAATGAACCAAACTAACCTACCTAGTTAACTTAGTTAGTTAACCTAGCTAGTTAACCTACTTAACCTAGCTAATTCCTAGGGTTCATAACTAAATTCATCTAAGTAAATTAACCTAGAGAGGAGGGGTGGGGCTTACAGAGAGGGTGCTCGGGGGAGACGTTGGCAGGGAGGTGCTCGGGGAGACGGTGGTTGGGAGGGCGTCGAGGGTGGCTCTGGTGGCGTCTACGGCGGCTCCGACGATGGCGAAGGAGGCAGGGCGGCGAGGAGCGGACGAGGGTGGCTCCGGGGGCGTCGAGGGCGCGTGGCTCCGGTGGCGGCAACGACGCGCGGTTCCAGTGGCGGCTTCGGTGACAGCCACGGAGGCCGGGTGGCGAGGGAGAGGTAGGAGACGATGCGAGAAGATCTAAGGAATTGGGGGAAGGAGGGACGCCCGCGCAGGGGCAAGTCAAACTTAATGGTAGCGCGTTTTCAAAACATGCGGTATAGCTACTTAGCTATAGCGTTGTTTGGCAAACGCGCTACTGCTATATATAAGTAGCTATATCGCTTTCGCAAACATGCGCTACTGCTATTGCTTTCATTTTTTTCTTTTTCTTTAATTTTTTTTTATTTTCCTTTTCTTAGTTGCAGCGTTGTCGCCTTAAAACGCGGTGCTACTACATCATTAGCAGTAGTGAGGTCTGTGGACGGGCGCTACTACTATACTAAGCTTGGAGGCAATAGTGTAGCAGTTATAATAGTAGCGCTTTTTGCAGGAGATGCGCTACTACTATATATATAGCAGTAGCGGGCTTGTCTACCCCGCGCTACTGTTAGATAACAGTAGCGCCTTATTTTAACAAGCGCTGCTGATAAGACTCTGTGTATAAGCTTTTCCCTAGTAGTGTGTGTGGACACTCCTTGAGCGTGCGTGAAAGAAGCAATGTCACATATGCAAACGTCAAAGAGGGTGATGCAACACAAAAAATTTCATCTACGGGCTAACGCGCGAAGAAGGAAAACCCATAAGCATAGACTCAAACGGAACACTGGTTGGGTCATGAAACACGATGGCATCATCCACGACCATTTTAAGGCGGCTTGGCATGGGACATCCTCGGAGGATTGACTTTTCACTTCGGCAGCCTCAATTGGAGCACACTGACGGGCATTGATGGAGGAGGAGGTGCAAAAATGAAAGAAATGTCAAAAGACAAGGCTTCTGGGTCGGATGGCTTCACTGGTGCCTTTTTCAAAAGATGCTAGAACATCATCACGGAGGATGTGATGCGCGCTATTCATCTCTTTAGTGACCTTCACTCAGAAAACTTCCAATGGCTCAACTCCGCAATCAATAAACAACATTTTCCATTTTTGAGAACTCCCAGTTTTATGCAATCCACTGCCTGAAGATTCAGATCAAAGCATGAGCATTGTCCTTGAATCTGAATTTGCTCAATTGCCTCTTCGTGACTTGGTGCAATAGCAGAATCCAAAGATTCCTGTTAATTAGCAGCAGAAATCAAATATTTATGTGTTCACATTTTTCACCCATAAGTCCCAATAGTTTGTACGATTCAGACAAACCAGTCCTTGAGCATGGCCTCAAGTCTTGGCCGCTATGATTCCCCTGCATGCTCGTCCCACCTGCAGTTGAGGCTCGAGCAACCCTCAATGATGTGTTATATATCTCGTGGCTCCCTCCCCCCTCTCAATTCCAGGCCGTCGTGATTCCCCTGCTGTTTGGTCCCACCTGCAGCTGCACCTCAACCAACCCTCAATCATGTGCTATATATGTTGTGCCTTGTGTGTGTGCACGCTCCTTAAGCATGCCCGAAAGAAGCAATGTCTCGTATCACAAACGTTAAAGACGGTGATGCAACACGAAAATTTTCATCTACGAGCTAACACACGAAGAAGGAAAAACCATAAGCATAGGCTCAAAAGAAACAATGGTTGGGTCTCGGAACACGAGGACAAGGAGGGCATCATCCAGAACCATTTTAAAGAGGTTCTTTGCATGGGACATCCGCGGAGGATTGACTTTCCACTAGGGCAGTCTCAATGTGGAGCATGCTGATTTGACAGGCATTTATGATCCCATCACGGAGGAGGAGGTACCAAAATAAAAGAAATGTCAAAAGACAAGGCCCCCGGGTCGGATGGCTTCACTGGGGCCTTTTTCAAAAGCTGCTCCAACATCATCATGGAGGATGTGATGTGCGCTATTCATCTCTTTAGTGACCTTCACTCAGAAAACTTCCAGTGGCTCAACTTCGCAAACAATTAACACGATTTTCCTTTTTTTGAGAACTCCCGGTTATTATGTAATCCACTGCCTCAAGATTCGGATCAAAGCATGAGCGTCCTCGAATCCGAATTTTCTCAATTGCCTCTTGGTGACTTGGTGCAACAACAAAATCCAAAGGTTCCTGTTAATTAGCAGCAGAAATCAAATATTTATGTGTTCCCATTCTTCACCCATAAGTCCCAACAGTTTGTGCAATTCAGACAAACCAGTCCTTGAGCATGGCCTCAAGTCCGGGCCACTGTGATTCCCCTGCATGTTCTTCCCCCCTGCAGTTGCGGCTCAAGCAACCCTCAATCCCCCCGGGCCGTCGTGATTCCTCTGCTTGTTTGTCCCACCTGCAGCTGTAGCCCAAGCAACCCTCAATCCTGTGCTATATATGTTGTGCCTTGTGTCCGCGAAAGGCAACTTCTCCTTAGCTCCTTTTATCAATGAAATGATACTCCGGCACTTTGCCATCAAGGCCCTTGTCTGATTTCTTATGGGATTCGTACCTTCTATTTACACTTAATCTGAAAATTTATGGATGCAATACCAGCAATTGATATCTTTCAGAATATATGTATATCATCAATATTCCAGAACTCGAGAATGCAAGGTAGCATTCCAGTACAAAAGTTGGTAAGAGTTGGCTTTCTGAATGTGTACAAACACACCAGTTAATTGATTCTATACCAGAGAGATCATGACTGGAAAAAAAATCCAACGGAGAAGAGAACAAAGCGAACACTTTGTAGCATCATAGTGACTGAGAAATATTATACTCCCTCCGTTCCTAAATATTTGTCTTTCTAGAGATTTCAACAAGTGACTACATACAGAGCAAAATGAGTGAATCTACACTCTAAAGTATGTCTATATACATCCGTATGTGGTAGTCCATTTGAAATCTCTAAAAAGACAAATATTTAGGAACGGAGGAAGTAGATGGCTACATTGATACCTTTACAGTCACAACCTATGATCTCCATAGCATCATAGTTGCAGGCGCTGGACAAAATCATGACCGATGAATGTTACGAATGGCTGCATTTATACTTTTACAGTCAAAATCCATGATCTTCATCCAGTTTTCAAAGTCTCCGATTTCCTATAAAAACAATCATGAATGGATGCTTTAGAAATACCGAGTGCTCATAGCTGCGAAAGGAATTATGTGGTTTGTTCAGCACTGCACCCTTCAATTTATTTGGTATCTACTCCCTTCATCCCATAATATAAGAGTGTTTTTTACACTAGTGTAGTGTCAAAAATGCTCTTATATTATGGACGGAGTAAGTAGTTATCATCTCGAGCTTAGTGTTATTCACTGATGATAATTTTGGGGCAAAAGAGCCAACCAGATAAAATAAAACTATTTATGGCATTTCGCCCTTCTAGATTCGTGCACTAATCAGTTTATAGGGTAGGATTTGGATTTACTGCGGGCAAAGGTTGTGTAAGGAAAACATTACAAGATACTCCCTTTGATCCAAATTAATTTTGTTTAATTTGGATGGGGGGAGTGTCAGCTAGATTAAATTTATGTCTATTAGAATCCGCTGAAGAACTGTCGCAACGGATATCATGGATAATGTCAAACAAAAGAATCATCGGCTCAAAACAGAAAAGATTCATACATATAGGATTATAAAACATACCATGGCAAATCCATTTTGCGAATAATAATAATGTTACAAAGGATATCATGGGTAATGTGAAACAAGACAATTGTGCATAAGATTGCTGCTAAAACATGTGAATTAGGCACATCCATTTTGTAACAACAATAATACGTAATAATAATGTAAAAACCTGCGTATTAAACAAGAACACAAGAGAAATGGAGGACAGCAGCAGAGCACACACACCTTGAGGATCGAGTTGACCGCGTTGGTGGCGGCGAGCCACTGGTCGCTCTGCTTCCTGTACCGCGCGATGGTCCCGAGCAGCGCGCGGGCCTCGAGCTCGATGCGCTTCTCGTTGACGAAGAGCTCCTGCACCCCGCCGTCGACGGCCTCCACGAGATGACCGGCGAGCCGCGCCGCGCTCCGCAGGGCGTCCTTCTTCGCCCTCTCTGTGGCGCGTTGCGTGCGAGGTAATTTAGCAAGAGAAGATTGGATTTGCTTGGCGGATTAGGAATTTTGAGTAGATCGTTGGTTGATTGTTACCGGTTTGTTGGCGCTGGCGGAGGGATTGGTGGTGGTGTTGCTGCATGATGTGGAGGAGCGCCGATTCCAGCTGCCCACCTGCCGCCGGCCCCGCCGCTGCCTTGGCTCCTTCCATCTTCTCCGATCTGAGCTCTCTCTCTCTCTCTCTCTCTCTCTTTTTCTTTTTCTTTTTGGACAACGGTCTGAGCTCTCGTCTTCCTCGTCCCGTCATCCGCCTATACTCTTTCCAGTTTGTTCTTTGCTACGGGCTACGGCCCATGTAACTTAGTGGGTACAAATTACAGACATTACACAAATGACATGACCTGGCGGGCTCTCAGCCGCCACCATGTATTGCGCTTTTTTTTCGCCTGCGTTTTGGCTCTTTAAATATATTTTATTATTATTATTGACTTTTTGGTTTTTCACCGGTCTTTCTCAGCTTCTCGACAAAAAAATAAAAAATTTCAAGAAAAAACACGTTTTTTTCCGTGAGAGGCATGGCTTTTTTTTCGTGAGAGACACGGCCATGCCTCTCGGAAATGGAAAAAAAAATTCTCTGTTTTTTTCTTCAATGAGTGGCACGGTTTTGGTTCCGCGAGAGACACGGTCGTGCCTCGCGAAAACGGAAAAATAAAGCGTTTTTTCCTTTTTTTTTTCTTCCGTGAGAGGCATGGTTTTGCTTCCGCGAGAGGCGCGAATTTGCTTCCGCGAGAGGCACGGCCTCTCGGAAACGGAAAAAATGTGTCTTTATTTTTTTTCTTCCTTGAGAGGCACGGTTTTGCTTCCGCGAGAGGTACGGTCGTCCCTCTCAGAAACGGCTTCTGAAAAGGGGAAAACCGTGCTCCCTGTTCGGTTTTTTCATAAAAAAATCATTAAAACCTATCAACATGGGATCTAGTTTTGAAATCTTGACATGAGGAATCCAAGGGTGAAAACAATTCGAGATTTCGACGCACGGTTTAAGAGATAAAACATTTTGAATAAATGGATCTACGAAAAAAAGGAAAACTCCTAGGTTGCGACAAGTGGCCCACATGTAGCGTGCCACTTGTCACAACCTGAGGAGGAAGAAGTGATCTTTGGAAGGAGTACTCCTCAATTAGTGATTTTGAAAAAATTATTATGTGAATGCGGTTAAATACTAACTGAAATTCTAAAAGGAGGGTGTTAAATACTGACTAGAATAAAGCGGTATAAAATATCACGATCCGAATTAATTGATGCAGCCTCTAGACCCATCCTCTATACAATGTAAAATGAACATTCGGTAGAGGTTGTATTAGATAATTCGAATCGGAGGGAGTATAAAAGATTTACAGAAATGTTAGCCGGTGAACGTTTCCCAAGAGCCAGTGAACCACGATTGAACCGTAGGTCACTTGTGCACGAATCATAAAGCTTTGCCAGGTGCCGCATTAGTTCGGGCGACCAGTTTGCTGCGAATGTGGTCTTGAGCGAACTCCCTCGTTACCCACTACCCGCACGACGCACGGTAACTCCCGCACCCACTCCATTTCAGGCGCCAGTCAGTTTCTTCTCCCCATTTTCCCCCTTCTTCGTTGTTTTGCTCTCTTGGGCCGCAGCGATTCCGGTGAGCAGCCGCGGTGCGCTGATTAAAAGACTTGTCTTCTCTTATAATTATCTTTTAGTATAAGGGCATGTATAATGATTGATAAGATAATTTTATCTTGAATCTTGCATGTAATTTAGTGTCTACAATGGGTTATTTTTTAGTCTTACCTTCAATAACTACTATTGCAAAAAACGTGGTGAGACATATTGTGCTAAGATAAGACAAGTCTTTTCTTATGATTTCTCACTCCTCCATCTCAGCATTTATCCTACATGGCACTTCCTAAGATAGCACCATTATACATGCTCTAATATGTCTCACCATATTTTTAGAAATAACCAGTTATTAAAGATAAGGCTAAGACAGAACCCATTTTAGACATGTTTTTATTGTCATTTCTAAATTACATGCAGAGCTTAAGGTAAGACTGTCATATCAAACATTGTACATGCCCTTAGCATATACTGTACCATTTGGGTCTTTAGTTACACATGTTTTTAGGTCAACTCCAGCGCGCGACCCCATCCTGTCCGGTTGCGTCCGTTTGGGGCAAAACAGACAAACCAAATGGCCTAGCGCGCGGGCGCAAATGGACTTTTGTCCGTTTTATGTCCGCTTTTGACCCATCCCGGCCCAAGTTTTGGCCGCTTTTGGGGTGAAACGAACAGCGCGCGGACGGGCGGGACACACGCGCTTGTCCTCCCCTGGCCCGCTCTTCGGTGACACAAA